AATAAATAAAAATTGTGTACAACATACAATAATACAAGATTAGTGAAGTGGTGTGGAGTTCAGAAGGGTGATAGTGGAGGGAAAGAAGCTGGAAATTTGCAGAATGTCACACATGCATATAGCTAAATAATCAATAGTCAGTACTATACAATATAATCTACTGCATTAACAGTTAATCCTTTTTACATTTACAGTCATTCAGATTGGGTAAATCTCAGCATGACTGCACTCATACTGCGGTGTAAAAAACAAATCCACGGCTAGCGGAGAGCATTCTCTACCTGCAGGCCAGTGCGTGTGTTTGAGCTTCCTCTGCGGACAGTAAGTGGATAGTAATTCAAATGAGGACGGAGCAGATAACCTCCCTCAGTGACTCATTTGAAAACTGTGCATAAATCAAACTATATATAAGCTTCATTATCAGGAGTTTGCTCCAATGAAGCTCTCTCTTATCTAAACTCCGATGCATAAAACATCAGCATCAATTCATAATGGCAGACGGACCACGTCTGAAAAATGCAGGCCTACGAGAAGGAAAAAAGGGAAGAAAACAAAGCTGGACCACATTCTGCATTGCAGAAAAAGACAGAAAACAACCGTTAAAATCAATAATTGACAGTACAGAAATGGCTGAAGGACCTTAAACATGTTTTAATTTGTTTTCCTTTCAAAAATAAGGCGGTCCTAAAGCCAAAGTGGTTCTGTGAAGCGTGTCGGAGATCCATAATTGATGGATGGCTGGTTTCTTACCTTGTTACTATAGAATAGAGCTCAGTAGGGGAGCAGATCCCCCAGCTCACTGCGAGAAGAACATTCAAACCACTCCACAACTTTTAAAAATGCAAAAATGTACAAAGAGTTCTTGGCTAGATGTGAGGACTTTTTTCCAATGTTATTTATTTATTATTTTTTTTTGTATTCGCTTTTGTCGTTGTAGCACAAGTTCTGCAATTTCCACACATTTTCATATAATAGACAGCTTTGGGGGTCTGATGTGTCTCTGGCACATGAGCTTTAAGACCCATTTTAAACACAATTACAGTGCTTTGGTGCCACCTAGTGCATTCATGAGAAAACAAGACATCAAAATCCTCAGTTTTTGTTCTGTGACAGGAAACTGAATATAGTATTTGTAGTAGTGCAGACATTTATCAAATATATTATATAATGGCTAAAGGCATTGATTCATCTGTACACTTATTATAATTATGCAGTTATTTAGCATTATTAACTGCAGAAGCCCTGTAGGCCCAGACACAGGCCCAGTTCAGTGTCTCACTCTCTTAACTGTATAACTAACATGTTATTACATTACTATTAAATAGGTTCATTATTATGATTACTATTTTATTGTGTAGTTTATAATTATTTTTTGTTTTATTTATTTTTTTTCTGATTTTTCTAAACTGCTTCATCATCATCAGTTGCAGCATTATTTCTTCCTATTATTATTATTATTATTAGTAGTAGTAGTAGTAGTAGTAGTAGTAGTAATAGTAGTCATAGTAGTAGTATTGTTATACTATATATGCTACATTCCCAAATTTCCAGAATTATTTTTTATATTTATTTTTGTTCTATTCATTTTTCTTATTTTATTCAATTGCTTTTCTTCTTCTTCTTCTTCTTCTTCTTCTTCTTCTTCTTCTTCTTCTTCTTCTTCTTCTTCTTCTTCTTTTTCTTCATCTTTTTCTTTTTTCTTCTGCTTCTTGTTCTTCTTCTTATTCTTCTTCTTATTATTATTATTGTTATTATTATTATCATTATCATTAAAACAACACATTACATTCTAAAATGCCCATGATTATGATTTACAATTATATTTGTTGTATTCATTTTCTCATTTTATTTTATTGCTTTATTATCTTTACTATCATTAGTAGTAGTAGTCATATTATTACTATTATTATTATTATTATTATTATTATTATTATACAGTACATTGTCAAAAGCCTATAATAATGATTTACAATTATTTTATTCCTTTTTTTCCATTCAGTCTATTCATTATTATTGCTATTATTATTGTTGTTGTTGTTTATTATCACCAATCTTATCTCTGTCTACAGCTTCGACTGCATTCAATCACAGACAATTATTTTTAAGGATTTTTTTTTTCTTAAAATAGAAGCTGGAAAACCTTTTATTTAACCCACTCATCGTAGAAGCCGTCAGGCAGCTGCTGAATTCTGCAATTCCAGTTAATTGCAAATTAAATTTGAAATCAGCAATAAATTCAAAGCTACCAATATTAGACTCCCACAGTGCAGCTCTTAGGCTGAGACAGACATTACACAATAGCTTCCCAAAGCTGTTCTGTAACAGTTTCATCCAACTTCCAACACAGAAAAAAGAGCAGTTCTGGTTACTTTCACTCTCCCTCAGGTGTAAAAAACACACTACTCTGTTGATGAAGAAATACTTCCCTCTGAAAAACTAGTCTCACCTCTGTAAAATCATCAAAACAGCTCAGTTTACCTCAGAAAAAAAGGTACGAGACTGTCACTGGGGCAGTACCCCTCTTTTTACTGGGGTGCAACCCTCAAGGGTTCATCTCAGTACCTTTAGTCAGGGAACATAACTGTACCATAATCCACTGAAATGATATTCTCTAAGTTGTATTGGCTCCACACTCCCCGTCTCGTCTCCAGGCTTTTTATTTTATTGTTCTGTTTTAAAGCATTCGGTTATGAAAAGGTACAAATACGTACTTTTCACCTGGAAAAACCTATTTAAGGAACACAGTTGGACCTTAAAACCACTGTTGTACCTTTGAGGGAACATTTACATTGTTTGTACCTTGATGAACAAAAAATGTACCTGCACTGTATCTTTATTTCTAACAGTGTACAGCTGCCTTTAACTAAAGAAATTATGAAAGCATACAAAGCCAAGTTTTGGCTCCTGACAGATTTCAGCAACTGTCCACTGGATTCTACCATAAGTGTGCTTTGAATCATACAGAAAAACACATCAAAATGACTGTCAGTGCTGACTGACTGGACTCTACAGACACAGCAGATTGAGATTAGGTTGAAAAATGTCAGAATTTTCCTTTAACACACTTCCAGCTGACATTTCCATGCTCCTCACTTTGATTAGGTGGGTCAGATAAGTGATCAAAGCAAAGAGGAAGAAATTCTGCTGATTTTTTTTTTTAATTCAACAAAAGTGTAAACAGTCATTCAGAGTGGTTTGGTATAAAATGCTCTTTTGTGTTAAATGGCTATGTTTGTGTTGAAGACATTGTGACCCCTGGTTTCTATCACCACTGTAAAGTAAGTACATGTCTGAGATGGTAACTTTCTCTACAGTGAGCCATTTCGCTACAAAACGCTATGACTGTCTATCATCTCAATGATAGAATGATGTGGGAATTTTGAAAAATTGGTGGAATTCCCCTTTAAGACAGTAACTGACCTGCAGGGTTTCCTCAGAGGTTTGGTGTTCCCTTCACTCCAGGGTGGTAACCATACTCTAAAAGAGTCAGAATGAAGTCAGTTAAAGCTGAAATACTGGGTTTGTGTGTGCAGTGCACCTTCACTGCCACTAGAAGGCGATCTACACTAACTGATCAGAGAAATGAGCTTGACTTCAGCAGAGCTGACACTGAGATCCTCCTCTAATCCCAGTCAAATACTGAGAGATCTTGTATTTTATTGTTATTTTAACATTTATACATGAAAACATTCTTCTGTCTGAGAAGGTTTGACATAAAACACTGTTAAAAATAAAACAATAACAACAATAATAATAAGAAGAAGAAGAAAAAGAAAAAGAAGAAATAATTATATAATAATTCTATAGATAAATAGTAATATATGAATAATAATATATAAATAAATAAATTATGTAAATATTTATATAATAAATATATAAATAAATATAAATATATTCATAAATGCTCATTTATTTATTCTGATCAATAAAAATGTTAAATACTAAATACTATATTATTATTATTATTATTATTATTATTATTAATGATGAACATTTTTTTGTTTTATAATTTGTATCTTTTTATAATCATTTATATCAATATTACTTGTACTACTACTAAGAAGAAGAAGAAGAAGAAGAAGAAGAAAATGAAGGAAGAATATTTAATCATTTTTAATTTTTTAAATCTTTTTATATTTTAAATAATTTTATACTATTTTATATTAATTACATAGTATTGTTCATTTATTTATTATGGTGAAATATTATTATTACTGTTATTGTTGTTACTGCTACTACTGCAACTGCTATCATTATATTAAATAATAACATTGAATAATAAAATAATACTAATACTATACATATATACTATAATACTAATAATTTTAATACTACTTTTGAGACTTTCTTTTAATGTTTTATTTATAATCATTTATATCACTTAATATCACTGCTACTACTGCTACTACTACTACTACTAATAATAATAATAATAATAATAATAATAATAAAAATAATAATTAAATTTTACACAATAATCAGGGAGAATCTTTCATTTACCTTTTTTCCAGCCAAAATGGCATTAAAAAGAAGTTATTCATTCTTCAAGAGATATTTCTGATAAAATTAAGTATAAAATGATCTAAAAATAAAGGAAATTAAGTGAAAAACAGTCTCCTTTAGCCAAAAATGCAACCAACTTCTAAGACTGAACTTTGGAGGTGTGGAAACACATCCCTGCCGATTTCCTTAAAAAACTGAAAGGAGGCTGTAATGAAGGTGGACACACCAAATTCATAAACATTTGATCTGATATGTAGTTATTAAAACTAATGACTGATTCTTTTTTGACACTGAAAATAACTTGTACTTAATGGTTGTTTTAACTGGTCTCTCACTTTTGCACAGTACTGTAATCATATTAATTGTAATTTGTTCACACTTCATTAATAGTACTAACTATATTAATACTGATTATTGTTTATGTGCAGTCCTTCTAATTTCTGCAGTCCTTCTACTCCATGTAATGTGGCTCTGCTGCCTCCGCAACATCACAGGGTTAAATACAGGCGATCTGAGGTCCGAGGGCAGTTTTGAAGCTGATTTCTGCTGCGGTGTGGACGAGGCTGACCATGGCATCATATGGAACACTTCTATTTCTTGTAACTTTCCTGATTGGAATGAAAACTGCATTTACTGCAGTTAACAATTCAGCTACGACCGCGTCGTACGATTTCACCTCTAATCAGACTTTCGCAACTACAAGGTTCAACACAAGACAGACTCCAACTGATAGAAAAGTTGTTCTGGGAAAGAGCACCGTTTTCCCCACGACTGCAGGACCGGCGGTCAGAACTACTACAAAAGCTTCACGGCTGACCACTGCGGTCAGCTACAACACTGAAGAACTGAGTGAGAAAAATGAGCGGAAGCCGATTAAAGAAGATGATGAGCCACCAAAATTAGGTAAAACCTGAAGAAGTCACTACTGTTTTATTAGTACAAGTTATTAATATAGTCATAGGCAATGTTTTTGTTGATTTACTGAGGGATGATAAGTTAAAACGCCCTCCACAAACTTGAATATGACATTTTTGTACAGATGGTAGTGCACAATTTCTATGTATCTGCAGGTTTTCCATATTGGAAAAGCCAAAAATAATACAAAAGGTGCCATAACTTCTGCACTGGATGTCTGGAATATGTTTTTAAAAACGCCTTTTGTCCATTCATTTTATTCCATTTTGTGAATATGTGTATGCAGGTCACCAGTGAATGTGAGGGCTTTCTTTGTGAAGACTGCTTACATAATTTGGTCTTATTCAAACGTCATAACGTCGCCTCTTCCTGCGTTCAGGGCCAGCTGGGTCAGAACGAGGTTTATACTCAGCACATTGGGCTGACTGATGGCTATAATCACTCTAATGCACAGGATTTTCCACAGAAATCTGCAGGACTGAGTCATGTGTTTAAAGTGGAAGTCCACCCATCTTTTAAAATTTCCTTATAACTCAGTCTTTGATATGCGAACAAACTGATGGACTTGAGGTTATTCATTATAGAGAAACTCATTAGCGACTAAGATTTATTTACAGTGGTGGTGATGGGAACCAGAGGTCGCGTTGCCTGCGAGACAAATATAGCCATTTAATTTGGGATCTAAAACCACCAGTGGACCGAAATGTGTCTTCTGAGTTCTTATATGCTATGTTGATAATGGGAAAATAAAATGCCTTTCAATAAAAAAATAATAAAATAAGTTAACTCTTCTTCTATTGAGATTACACTCAAATGTAGCATTTATCTACAAATTCTAGTGCAAAATTGGAAAAAATAAAGCATAAAAAACATTTCAGTTCAGCAAATATTATATGTGGGTTCTCTGTAGAGGAGTGTTAACGTTTTTTCACTTCAACAACGTGTGACCGGGGGTGCTCTAACTTTTGCATACTACCATATATCACCAGTACACTCACATTATCTAAGCTGCCTATCTTCCTGGGTCACGGGGGTGGGCAGTGCTGGAGCCTATCCCAGTGGTCATTGGATGGAAGGCATGAAACTGGAAAGAACCGATCCATCACAGAGCAGACACACCAACATACACATTTACACATTTACACTAAGAGGCAATTTAGCATCTCCTATTCACCTGACTGCATGTCTTTGGACAGTGGGAGGAAGCCCACACAGACACAAGGAGAACTCCACAGAGAGAGGACCCTGGTTACCCGGCCGGGGAATCGAACCCAGGCCCTTTTTGTGTTGAGGCAACTGAGCTACCCTAAAATACACTACAGGCCAAAAACTTGTTGCAAAACTTCGTATAAAACATACAGGTATTTTTCAGAAGCGTTAAAAGTTTCAGGCCTCTGGTTCCTATCGCCACCACTGTGAACAATTCTTACTTGGTTTCTCTAGAGTGGAGCGATCCTTTCACGTCAAACCACTCTGAATGACTTTGTTAACATCTTACCCATTTAATTATGCATTATAAGAATCATCTGGCATATACAGATGTAGAAGCTTTGATTATTAGCATTGAGACAGTGTGTTCATAGACCTCTAAAGCTGTGCATAATTCTGTAGTCTGTATCATGCCCATATAAGGAACTCAACATAATTAGAATGCAATATTGGAATCAACCAATCAGGAAAGGGACATTGGAAAACTGATACATACAAGATGAAATATCTGTTACAGGCCTCCAATAAAACGTACAGAACATCTACAAGCTTCAAATGGCTGTGTTTAATCTAGAACAGCCAATATTAGCTTAATGTTGAAAAGCAATCAGAAATCCCAAAGGAATGCTTGCAGAAATTAGCGTTATCATAGTGCAGGACGGTAGCTCTCCAGGACCAGGCTTGGAGACCACTGTAGTAAGCAGTATTCCTGACTGTCTAAAAGCATTGAAGCAAAAAAGACCACCCCAAGATGTCTAGTTATCATCTCCAAGACTCTTTGCACTTAAGGTGGGGTAAACATTACAGTGCTTTAGGGAAAACAGAGCTCCAGATTGTATCCAGCCCTCACTAATTACTTCCAAAGAACCCAAAAGCATCATAAAACCACAGACACTTCTGGCTGACTAATGTTAAGGGTATTGTGGAGGAGAAGAGACTGTCCAGACGTGTCCACTAAAACAACCCAACCCATTAGTACGAAGAGAAGATACTACAGCACCTGAAAACGTTTAGTTTTGAAGAGCTGAATCACTCTATTTGGACCAATAGTCCAATACATCTCTGAATTAAAAATTCCAGTCAAAATGGCCATTAAGTACAAGTTATTCATTTTTAGGTAACATTTCTGAGGAGATTAGATAATCAGCTAACATAAAAAGGGGGACATCGCAGGAAAATAAGTGAAGTTTCCAAAACTGGAGTTGAAAAAATGATTAGGAGATCTCACAAAAATGGGACTCCTAACAGCCATGCAAGACCTGGTAGACCACCAAAACTGCCCCCATCAAATAAACAGCACTTAAAGCTTTCATCTTTGAAAGAAATAGTTCCACTCTTACTTTTCAAAAAAAAACACCATTATCTGTGAACACAGTTCATTGCTGTATCCACAAATGCAAGTTAAAACTCTACCATGCAAAGAGGAAACCATATACAAACAGGATCCAGAAATGCTGCCGCCTTCTCTGGGCCTGAGCTTAAGATGGACTGAGGCAAAGTGTAAAAGTGTCCTGTGATCCAGCAAATCAAAATTTTAAATTCTTTTCGGAAATCATGGACACTGCATCCTCCTGGCTTGTTATCAGCACACAGTTCAAAAGCCAGCATCCATCATGGTATTGGTGTGCGTTAATGCACATGGCATGGAGGACTTACACATCTGTGAAGGCACCATTAATGCTGAACAACTTATACAGGTTTTGGAGTAACATATGCTGCCATCCAGATGACATCTTTTTCAAGGAATGCCTTTCTTCTTTTAGCAAGATAATGCCAAACCACATTCTGCATGTATTATAACAGCATGGCTCCATATTAAAAGAGTGCAGGTGCTAAACTGGCCTGCCTGCAGTCCAGACCTGTCACCACCGAAAATATTGGATGTATTATGAAGGGTAAATTTTATGAACGAAATCCCGAACTGTTGAGCAGGAGCTGGAAAACAATTCGCTTTCAAAACTATAGCAATTGGTCTCCTCAGTTCCCAAACAGTTACAGTGTTGAAAAAGAAAAGGAGATGCAACACAGTGATAAACATGCCCCTGTCCTAACTTTTTTGGAACATGCTGCTGGCATCAAAATGGAAAAATATTCATGTAGATTTCTTAAAAAAAATGAAAGCAAGTCTCCTAGAAGGAATGGAAGCTGTAATGAAGGTGAAGCGTGGAAACACTAAAATACTGAAAAATGTTATTATATTTAGTTGTTGAATTTGTACATAATAGCTGTTTTGACTGGAAATGAAGCAAATTAAGGCAATCTATGACTTTTGCTTACTGTACATATACGCATATGTACATAAAGGTGATGTACATGTGATTAAGAACTTTTTTCCTTCTTCCATAAAGTTTCAGAGACATAAAGCCTTGTTATGACAGTGATGACATATAAGTAAAGGCAACATAATGCAACAAGACATTTGAGTGAATTCAGCCTTGTCTGTACAGCTTGTAAATTGATCCCCTGGGATGTTAGTGGACTGTATGTGCTGTATACCAGGTCACAGTAATTGGGTCATCGTAAGATCAGCTCCAGATGTGCGAGTGGATTTGTGTTGACTCAGCAAATTATCCGTAAACTCTTGCTAACTCACCCTCAGATATTTTTCCCTAACTTAATCATTGGTTGCCACGCTGTGCACTTACATAACCGAGAAGACAGCTAAAGCACACAATACAGATACAAAGCAGGAGTAACAATGGCTGCATTAAAAGCCTTGCAAAGCATCTCTTAGGGCCATGGGTTCATATCACTGTGGGTAAAGAATATGCAAGCAGTAGTAACTGTTATACTTTAGTTTCCTTTGAAGGGTCCATATCATGGAATTTCCTTGATTTTTTGAAACAAAAGACTGTAATGTAGCATGTAAACACTGTTCAAGTTTCAAAACATACTGTTCACTCCTCAGTCCATGCATAACATAAGACTAGCAATGAGGGGTGCACTGGTAGCTTTCCTGATATCCAAAAATCGAGTACTGCCACAAATAAAAAATGGAATTTAAACACAATAAAAGCACTTGCATGTGGGTCATTCTACAGAAACATCCATTTTTGTGTCCCTAGCGTTCACAGATATATTACACTTAAAAAACATGTTAGGGTTGCAATTTATTTCTATTTTAAAATAAAACTTAAAATTTAAAATATAAGTTATTTTAACAATTACACCTTTTTGAACCATCAATGTAGCAATATTGGTTTTTAAATCAATTATCTAGAATTACAAGCACCACAGAAGTGCTCATCCTCACAGTCATGTGTAAAGGGTGAGACCATATTTTCAGGTAAAAAACATGTTTTTCTGCTATGGAATATATAAACTAAATGACATAAAGAAAACAAATGCCAAATAAATAATATAAAATATATAATGAAAGTTGTTGTCCCCAGGAGTCGTGTCACTGGTGTTACTGCGTAACAAAAAATCTCTTATTTTGAAATAAAAATCACACTGATGACATCACTTGACTTCTTTTTACCTATTTTCTGAGGAATTATGAAAAAAGCACACGGTGAGTCCACTGTGTCTTTTCAGTTATCAGAAATGATCTCATTCAGCTCATGATTTCATATGAAGCTTTTAGTTGAAGTCACTGGTGTGACCAACTTTATTCTTAGATAAATGTGAAAAAATAGAATACAAATGGATTAAATTACATATTTTAGTGGAAATTCCATGACTGACATGTGGATTGATGCTCTGTAGCAGCCATTTTGTAAAATGCATTTTTCATTAAAAATGTCAGTGATGTTACCTTTCTTATGTGTAACACCAAT